TCTCTCTCTCTCTCTCTCTTCGCTTTCCTGTCACATCTACCTTTTCTCTCTTTCTCTCTTTCGCTCCATCTACCTTGATACACCCTTCATCAAGTCGCCCGCCGGGCTATCCATAAATCTCCGCACACTCTGTCCGTATTAAGTCTGTTGTGGACCAGTGAATGCAGGAAATACGAGGAGCGGAGTCGCAAGCAATAAATCAGAGACCAAGCACGTACGAACCACGGGCAACGAAGGAGAAGAACAAGGGAGGAGTAACGAAAGCGTCGGCGCTTTCGCGTCGCGACAACGCCGGGACAGCGGTAGCCGAGCGACGGCGACGACGCCGGCGACGGGTGGTGTATCTCGCGCGAGGAATCTCCCCGAGAAGGAGGAGGAGGAGGTGGGAGGTTGGTCGACGCCGAAATTAGCTAGACCTCAACACTATAAACTAGATTCTAAAAGATTTGGTCCAATAAACGCGAGAAGAGGAGTGTGAGTAAGCGCGGCACACGCGCGATCGCCGAACACGTACTTTCAGCACCTCGCACCAGCACCTTTGTCGGCCGCTGCGCGACGACACAATACACACACAGTACAATACACCGAGCTGGCGTGAATCGCGCGGAATTCACGACTCGCGGGCTCTTGTCTCGTCGGCGAAGGAGAGAGCGAACCGGCGAGCGCGAGAATCGGTGAGTGAAGCAGAGCGAAAGCGAGAGCGGAACACAGTGAGAAAGAGAGAGAGAGCGAGAGAGAGAGAGACGTCCGCGTCTCTCAGGTCAAAGGGCGAGACGCCCTTTCTCGGCAGCGTCGTTTCGCGGTACCGTTCTCGTACGACGATCACGAGCGTCCCGAGACGCACGCATCGACCAGACGCGGCGACTACGACGAGCGACGAATCTCGCGACGAGATCGCCTCCGCGGGCGGTTGTCGTTATCGAAGACGCGCCGAGCATACGATTACGCGCAGGCCGCCGCTGCCGGCGACGACGACGACGACGACGACGACGACGACGACGACGACGACGACGACGGCCACGGCCACGACGGCGACGGCGACGGCGACGGCGACGACGACGACGACGACGACGTCGACGATTACGGCAACACCAGCAACAACAACGGCCACCGGCACGAGAAGGAGGAAACGTGCGAGAGAGGAAGAAGAGCAGCAGCGCGCCCGGCAGCATCTGTGTATTCGACAACGATGGCATTATCCTGAAACGGGCATGACGCCCTTGGCCTCGAGATGCGACGAGACCACCACCCTCTTGCTGTTGCTGCTACTCGAGCTAGCACCCGGGGCACGTTGCTACTCGCGCGCGGCCGCTACCGCCGCATCGTCCTTACCGAGATAGCATCTACAGTACCCGGCGAGGGTGCGAGTGATGCCGCATCTCGGCAGCATTATGACCATCGCCGTCGATAGCGCGACAACAGCGTCCACGAGCGTCCTCGAGGAGAACATGACGTGGTCTCGATCGACCGGCGGCGCTACGTCTTCGAGTTACGAGGCCCTTTCGACACGTGCGATCACGAACGGCGAGCAGCTAGTGCGGCGTCGGGCCGCGGCGGCTACCAACGAGAAGCGCGAAGGTCGGCCCTTGATCGCCGGGCTCCTGACTGGAGGAGGCTCGGCCGTGAAGCACGCCGATCGAAACAACGAAAAACACATCGAGGAGATCGGCGCGCGCGACGCCACGACGGAGCTGGACGGCGAGACTGCGGCTCCGGCGGCTGCGACGGTGCTGGCGGCGGGGCAAGGGGAGGGAAAGGAGACGGCGGCGGCGACGACGACGACGACGACGACGACCACGACAAGAAAGATTTCCCGACGTCGTTGCGGCCTTCAGACTTGGGAAACTCGAGTTTGCGGCGGCAACACCGTAGGCGCGAGCAAGAGCGCGGAAACTGCATTTACCGGCGAAGAAGACGCGTCAGAAGTAGGCGCCGGGGGTGGTGACGGTGGCGGCGGCGGCGGCGGCGGTGGCGGCGGTGACGAGGACGACGACGACGACGACGACGACGACGACGACGACGACAACGGCGGCGGTGAAGAAAGCGTCGACGTGAGCGACGTAGGCAGCAGCATCGGCACGACCGTGGTCGGTGTAAGCGCGAGTATATCGAACAGCACAGAGCCGGTGGACGAAGAGGACGGTGGAGACGCAGCGGACGGAGTCGCGATCGAGTACGGCAAGGATCTGTTGTTGTTCGGCTTCGGTGACATAATGGAGGACATAACCGACGGCGCGTTGAACGACTCGCTGAACGCGAGCCTGCCGCGCTCATGGAACACGAGCATGTTCATCAACGAGACCTTCATCGTGGTGGGCGAAGGCGGCTACCCGTCCGGCTACACCGTGCCGGAGATTATCCTGGCGTCCATCGTGGCGACCTTGCTCATGATCGTCATCATCGTCGGCAACATGCTGGTGATCATCGCGATCGCCACGGAGAAGGCGCTGAAGAACATACAGAACTGGTTCATCGCCAGCCTCGCGGTGGCGGACTTCTTCCTCGGCCTCGTGATCATGCCGTTCTCCTTGGCCAACGAGATCATGGGCTACTGGATCTTCGGTTACTGGTGGTGCGACATTTACTCCGCGATGGACGTGTTGCTGTGCACCGCCAGCATCATGAATCTGTGCCTGATCAGCCTCGACCGCTTCTGGAGCATCACGCAGGCGGTGGACTACCTGAAGAAGCGGACGCCGGCGCGCGCCGCGCTCATGATCGCCCTCGTCTGGCTGCTGTCGGCGCTCGTCTGCATACCGCCGTTGCTCGGCTGGAAGAGAGCCGCCCCGGCCGAGGAGTATCCCAAGTGCAAGGTAAGTCGTCCGCTCTATTCTTCTGCTTTCGGCATGCGAATCTGCAGCGAATCTTGCTGGCCTGAGGGGACTCGCCCCCTCCCCCCTTTTCCTTCCGATGGGGCGAGCACCGCGGTCTGGCTCATTGCAGTCGTTAACTGGAATTAACCGTGCGATGGACGAACGGTCGCTGGGGGCGATATGGGAACGTGGAGGCGGAAAAAAAGCGCGGTCGAAGAATAGTACACGAGGCGACGTAAATCACCGCATTAGCGACACAGAAAATTGGATTACGTCGTTATATCGGATTGGGTTTCTCTAATGAATCGGAAAATTGAGACACCGGCACGCGGGAGAGCCGAAGGGAGGTTGGACGAACGTCACTTACAGTCTTGATCGTTTATTCGCCTCCTTTCGTTATTAAGGCGTTTGCGAGTGAAGGATTATTAGAGAAGGAACCTCGCTCTCTCCGTGTCGATGAATTCAATTACTTTAGGTAAATTTATTTACCCCTCTCACCGACCCCCCCCCTCTCTCTCTCTCTCTCTCGCCCGAGCTATTCGATTAAAATCGATCGGGAGCAGCTCGTTTATATTATTTTTACCCTCGCAAACGGATACGTTGGCGAGCGAGCGAAGGAGAAAAAGAGAGAAAGGGCACGCGCGCGCACGAGTCTTTCCACGTGCTCTCTCATGAATATTTTATACATGATGAATCCTGATATTTTTTTACGACGGGCTGTACTGTCCCATCTTCTCCCGTCTACATTAATCTCTCATGTGCTTTTACGCAAACAATTCAGCTCGCGTGACTGCCGCGTTCTAAGCTCGGAAGCGAAAGATAGGCACGAATTGATGATCACGCGTTTAAAATGTTCCGACGAATCCGCCCGAACGCGCGCGCGCGCGCGCGCGCGTGTTGGCAGTGGTGCGCAAAAAGCGCCATAAACGGACCGAACATTATACTAAGGATTATAAAGCATTAAGCAACCATAAGAGCCTACCGTCTCCTCATCCTCCGGGGGAGTCGTGAGAAAGAGCGAGAGAGAGAGAGAGAGAGAGAGAGAGAGAGAGAGAGAGAGAGAGAGAGAGAGAGAGAAGCGTGACGTAGAGGGATGTCACGATGGATTTTATACCTCCCGAATCCCTCCTTTATTCGCGTATATTACCGCGAGCGGCGTAAGTAACCCCCGTAAGAAAGCAGGGTCTCGATGTACAGCCAATTTCCAATCCGAATACGTATCCAGCCGACGTATCCTGTCGCGCGCGGACACACGAGAAGGAAGAAAGTGAGACGAGAGGCGCTCGGAGGTGGCACAGCGGTGGCGGCAGCGACGGCGACTCGCCTTTCATGCAACAGCGAAACCCACCCTTATCCCCGGCCCCTTAAATCCCGCCGGTCTCCACAAAACGGCACTCTGGATTGGATTTCTATGCCCGACAGCTCGGTCTACTAAGCTGACACACACACACACACACACACACACATATCCGCTCGTTCTGCCCTCCGCCGCCATCGTCACCACCGCCGCCGCCTGGTATCGTTTACGTGAATATTTGACGTTTGTCATTCGATTAGCGCATATCTGTGCTATTCTCCCCTTCTCTCTCTCTCTCTCTCTCTCTCTCTCTCTCTCTCTCTCTCTCTCTCTGCGCCGCTCTCTCTCGCCGTTTTTGCTTTGTAGGTAAAACCGGGGAGAGAAGCGCAATCTGAAACAGTTTTACCGCGGATGTCCGAATAATTGCCACGGATCACTGTGAAAAATCGGGAACACGTTGAATTGCGTAATAAAAGTGACGTTTTGTGTCGTTTCGCAGCTGTAATATGCGAAAGCTCGTACAATGAATTTTTACAATTTCCCCCGTCCTTGCCGGGACACGAAGAGTGAGATTAGCCATTCTCCTCCCGCCATTCATTACACCTTACTAACGGTGAATACGTAATTTGAGAGAGAGAAAGGGGGGGAGGCGTGAGAGAGAGAATGAGAATGAGAATGAGAGAGAGAGAGAGAGAGAGAGAGAGAGAGAGAGAGAGAGAGAGAGAGAGAGAGAGAGAGAGAGAGAGAGAGAGAAAGAGAGAGAGAGAGAGAGAGAGTAGGAAAGTAAAAAGTACCTTTGCGCCCCACGATAATTGCACATGCTCGCGCATGATTGAGTGCGCCCTTAAACTTCCAACGGAACTAATTACCGCCTATAATTGAGCCATACATTCCTACGGATATGACGCGCATAAGAGCGGGACTAGGAAACGCGAGACGTAGGGGCGGGGGGGAGAGGGAGAGGGCTGCACTTCTCTCGCGACGTAGCCACGCAACCGTCTCGCACCGGCGGGCGTTTTTACGCCCGCGCAAAACACACGGTGGATCCAAGTTTAATAACGGCCAAACGAGTCGCGTACTTTCCTCATTAAGCCGCATAACTTCCATAATGACGAGCCGTTACGTGCAACTCGCGAGGGTTGAAGAGGGACGGAGAAAGAGAGATAAATGGAGGCAGAGAGTTCATCCACTCAAGTCGGCCCCGGGACGCGAATTGTGCGAGTAGCGATTATGTCAAAATCAAGTATTGACACGGTGCAAAAGTAAGAGAGGGGCCGAGAGAGGAGGGTAAGTAGCAACACATGGGGGAAGGGTGAGTACGAAGGCGACCGCCGCCGTCGCCGTCGGTATTTGAATGAAGGCGGCGGCGGCATATCGTGACGCGATGCGACGCGATACGACACGGTACGATACGGTACGGCACGGTTATTACGCGCACGAAAATCGAGTTCGTCACGAAGGTTCGGCGGCGGCGACGGGCGAGCAACGAGCGGAGATCCTTCTCTCTTTGTCGCTCTTTTTCTCTCATTCTCGGATACGTCGGCTCGCTGGAGCTGAAGTGTCGTTTAAGGATCGGTTGGATTCGCCGCCGATTGACTGACTGACTCGCGCGACAGCCTTGAAATTTGCTTCCCCCGTCCGCCCCGCGGCCGCTCGTCGTAGAGATTGACCTGTCACGAGAAATTCAACGCGTCTCCCTGCGACGTCGGTTTCCCGCTCGCCGGCATATCGCATCTCAAAGACATACGTGCATACGGCGAGACTGGAGAGAGGAGTCATCGTGTTATTTTATTTATTGTCGTTATTATCGTTGCCATCGCGATGTTCGATTACTCTTCCGGGCATTTACCGTACAGTGATTACATTCTTGCGGCTGATCCGCAACGGAACTGTCTTCGATACGACGGGTCAGCGCGAATTGTCCGGCGAACGACGAGGCAAAGCCGCTTTTCTCTTTCTCAATTACGAGCGAGACGGGCATTGATTCGGGTCGAGGTAAAAATATGAGATTTGTTACTTCACCAAGAGAGAGAGAGAGAGAGTCCAGCGGTCAAGTAACATCGCTCCTTTGAGCCTCTCGGTGACTTCTCTCGCGTCAGGCTAAATGTTTCGGACATAAACGCGAATCTTTTTGCTCAGAAAAAGGTCAGAGTTCCCGATTTGTTGTCGTCGTCGTCGTTGCTTTTTCATTCCCCGACGCGTGTCCTCGTCGCGAGGTTTCCCTCTTCATTCTCTCTACTTACTATCTCTTAACTGCGGCAGCGTGCTTCTTTTCGCCTCCTTTCCACTCTCTCTCTCTCTCTCTCTCTCTCTCTCTCTCTCTCTTTTTCCCTCTGTTACATTCCTTTAATATTTTCTTCGGGAGGAGCTCGCTAATGAAAAGGCGACACGCGAGCATCGGTTAAGGCGCATCTCGCTACTTTCTTTTTGTTCCACCACTTTCCGCGGTGCTCGCCCTCCCACCCTCTCTCACCCTGTCCCTCATTCTCTCTCTCCAACTCCCTCGCCATTACTCTCCGGTCCGACAATACCGTGGCACGATTTTCCGCGCGTCGCCCCCTTCCGCGTCTTCTCTTCCTCAGCCGTCGCCGAGCAGACAGACGCGCGACGGCACCCTCTCGACGCTATTGCCGTCGGATTTTTCCGAGCGGTGACAAATGGAGAAGCGTGGTGAGAGCGCGCGATACAGAAACGACGGCCGGCCGGGCGAGGCGGGCGACGATCGCAATCATCGCGCCTTAATCTCTTAATGCGATTAGATCGCCGCTTCCTTGGCTATTAACAACTCGCGCGACCACGAAGAAGCGCCGGGCGATTTGTCTTCTTCAGCGTTGCTCCTGTCTCGCATGATGCACTCGGTTTGCCGAGGAATTCATAAATGCGCGCGCGTCTTGACGTAAACGCGAAACTCGCTCGACAAAACCCCCCGTAATTCGCAGCGATCGCAATCGCGAGTCTCGATCGAGGCGATGGGAATATATTGCCTCGCGGGAAATGCACGTTTTACGTCGCATTTGTGCTTGAAACAACATTAAACGGCGGGTCATACAATAGCGATGGGATGAAGGGGCCGGTGGGGGGAGGGGGGGGGGCTTAAAACCACGGGGATTTGAGATAAACGTCCCATCGCGATGCAATCAATGCGATTAATTTGGCCGGTCGATGCGATGGGATTCAAAAATCGAACGGGAAATACGACTCGTTGTTTTTCCTCCTCTCGCTCATTCCTCCTCGTTCTCCTCTCTCCCTCGTCGCCGCTCGTTTCCTCGTTGGCGTATTGCGTTTCGCCGGCGACTCGCCAGCGCGAAACGGACAACTCGGCTGTCCCGTCGAGCGAAACGACCCGGATCTCGTTTTACTTATTCGCCCCGGCTCGTTATTGGCGACGCGAGCTATCGTCGGATTCATCGAGAAACTTTGGCCATCGGTAACGGAAACCGTCGGCAGCGTCCAAGTGTACAGATAACATCAAAGAGAGATTAAGCCACGGAAAAATCTACTCATCAATTCCGAGCCCCGCCGCTTCCACGGCGTCGAGACAATGCCCGGAGCGCTTGTAAAACATTTTGCGAAGTTTATAGCGTCCTCCGAAGTATCTGCATTCGTTGAGGGAAATACGTGAGAAGATGGATGAAGACGCCGGGGCGGGAGGGGGAGAGGGAGGGGAGTCGGACGGTACGCTCAGGGAGGAGGAGGTAGTTGCCGCTCGGCGTTGTCTTTTAATACGATTAGTTGAGCAGCTCCATGGCGGATGCAACGACGCGCAGCGGAGTGTAAACCAAGGTTTACAAGGAACTTGCAATTATCCCTAATAAGCGGCGGTGTTATTCGCCGCGCGTGGCTTTTACTTTAGCGACCGCGCCGCGAAGAAATGGACTGATTTCGCGCTTTTCTTCCGCACTTCTCCCTCTTCCCTTCCCTGTTTGTTTGTCTTTGCGCTGAAAAGGATTTGCCTCGCTGCGCTCCCTTTCCCGCTATATTGCCGCACGCAATTTTCGACGCGACATTCTCTACGTAAAAATGCCGGAACGTCCTTTCCTCACGCAACGGTGCTTACTCCCCTGTCTCTCTCTCTCTCTCTCTCTCTCTCGCTCGCTCGATTTGCACCTCTTTCTTTCTCCCTCTCTCTCCCTTTCGTATAAGTAAAAGACACGCCGCGGTGTTGCGCGCGCTTTTTACTATGTACATACTTGACTCGGCGCGGTA